ACCTACTCCCCCTCCCCAGCACCAGCCTATACCCCCTCGCCTGCCCTTACCTACTCTCCCTCCCCAGCATCAGCCTATACCCCCTCGCCTGCCCCAAGCTATAACCCTGCATCCTCAGCGGCCTACAGCGGGGGCCCTGCTGAATCTGCCAGCCGCCCTCCTTGGGCGACAGATGACAGCTTCTCTCAGAAGTTTTCCCCTGGCAAGAGCAGCACCTCCATCAGCAAGCAGACCCTGCCTGGAGGGACTCCTGCCTACACTCCAGGTTCCCAGGTGTCCCCTCTTGCCAGGGGCACCTTCCAGAGGGCAGAGCGCTTCCCAGCCAGCAGCCGGACTCCACTCTGTGGCCACTGCAACAATGTCATCCGGTAGGACCCAGCTGTGGCCCTGTGCTGGGGTGCTGGAAGGGTGGGGTGCAGGTGGCTTGCCCACTGCCTGAACCCTGTGGTGGGGCGGGGGAATGGGAGGGCAGGTTTAGGGAGAAGGCCATGTGCGTGCGGGGCAGCCTCAGGTCCCTCTGGGTCAGCATCAGGTCTGGCCTTCTCTGGGCTTAGGCTTCCATCCTTGTGCGACTCCAGGTCCCTGAGGAGTTGGGAGGAGACCATGAAGTAAGTGGGTGAAACTCCCAGGATGGTGCCTGGTGCGGGGACCCCTGTTGGGCTAAGGCCAGGTTCTGGGAATGGCAGGCCTTGTGGTCAGCAGGCGTGTTGGGCATGCTGGAAGCGGCTGACAGCGCTGGGTTTGACCCAGCTTTCCTTTAGGGGGGCCTCTGGGCCTCCACGGCAGGCCTGTGCTGCTCTGGGCTTTTGTGGGCACCAAAGCATCTACCACTGTAATGAAACAAGTCATTTCAAGCTCAGAAGCCAGGGTGGTGGGTGGTACTTGTTTGAAAATAGTGTGTTTACAGTATTTGTGTGTGTGTTTTCGGGGTGGTGGGGGGTTGGTGCGCTTACATATATATGAAAAATACATTTTTATTTAAAAATAAAGTAACATATTCTCAGAGGAGAATTAGAAAATTCAGAAAGAAAAATGGAAATATAAAACACTTCCTCACCATTCCACTCTTCTAACTACTAATGTGGAGCTAGACTCCCCAGGTTTGTGTCCTGGGTCCACCATACTAGCCCCTATGGCCTTGAACAGCTTAGCCTCTTGTGCCTCAGTTTCTTTATCTGAAAATGGGTATCAATCCTACTTCATAGGATTGCTGTGAGAATTAACTAATAAATACAAGTTTCTTCTTGACTAGCACAGGGTAAGTGCTTAATAAATGCCAGGCATCAGCACCATCATCACTGCTCTTCTTATTGTAATTATCAGTAGTCAACAGAATGGCTACTCCGTGATGTTTACCCGCCCCAAAATAACACACACAAAGCATTCTTGGGGTCTCAAACTATCTGGTCTCAAGCTTTGGGGGCTGCCTTAGTAGGTGCTGTTCTCTGCTTCCCAGGGGCCCCTTTCTGGTAGCCATGGGCCGCTCCTGGCACCCAGAGGAGTTCAACTGTGCTTACTGCAAGTCCTCCCTGGCAGACGTGTGCTTTGTGGAGGAGCAGAACAACGTCTACTGCGAGCGCTGTTATGAGCAGTTCTTTGCCCCAATCTGTGCCAAGTGCAACACCAAAATCATGGGGGTAAGTGGGCAGCATCCTTCTCCTCAGGCCTTGTCTTTTCCCCAACCAGTCTCTTCCCATCCCTTAAGAAGGCCAAGAAGTTGCTACTAACAGAGAGTGGGCAGCTCCATTTCTGTTCTGGAAGGAAGTTGGTTTGCCACCAATGAACTAGGGAGCAAGTGAACTTGCAGGGAGAGGATTACATGCCGGGGCTACACAGCGTGAAGTGGTGCTGGAGCTTCTGCAAAGCAAGCCTTGACCTTGCCATGCACCCGCACGTAGCCTTGACCCTGGACACCCCTTTGGGGAAACAGCAGTAACAAGCAGTACCTCCCTCCCAGGTTTGACAGGAATGTTAAGCATCACAGTTACATAAGCACACGCAGAACCTGGCACCCAGCACGCGCTACGTGAGTAGGGACCCCTCCTTTGGGGGCCTTTCCTTGGCGCACCCGAGGCCTCTTCCTGGGCCCTCCTGCCCTGCTCCCAGATGGGATGCTGCCCCCACCCTGGACCTGCCTGTCCTGAATTGAGCTCTTTCCCTCAGGAAGTGATGCACGCCCTGAAACAGACCTGGCACACCACTTGCTTCATCTGTGCAGCCTGCAAGAAGCCCTTCGGGAACAGCCTCTTCCACATGGAAGATGGGGAGCCCTACTGTGAGAAAGGTAGTGCTGCTGTGCTGGAGAGGCGCCCCACCACCCATTCCCTCACCCCATCTGGGAGAAGGGGCAGGCACAGGGAGCTCCCACCTCGATCCAGTCACATGGACCCATCAGGAGGCTCCAAGGGGTAGAATCATGCCAGTGTTACACCAAGGAAGCTTACTGACCGATGTCCCCTGCCCATTGGGTTGCAGCTTTCCTTTGCTGAGGTGGGAGGTTGAAGGGGTTGGGGGGCAAAGGGCCTTGTTTTTTACACATTCAGCCTCTCTGCTCCCTTCCCTGCACCAACTATGTGGATCACAAGTTGACATCTTGGAGCAGCTTGGGAAGCCCATCAGGTGGTTTTGATTTTGAGACCGCAAAGTCCAGTGTGAAAAGGCTGTGGATCTGGACTTTATGCTGGACACTCAGTCACTCAGTCAGTCAGTCAGGCACTCAGTCAGTTAGTCACTCACTCACTCACTCACTCACTCACTCAGTCAGTCAGCCAGCCAGCCACTCAGTCAGTCAGTCACTCAGTCAGTCAGTCAGTCAGTCAGTCACACACTCAGTCAGTCAGTCAGTTAGTCACTCAGTCACTCAGTCAGTCACACACTCAGTCAGTCAGTCAGTTAGTCACTCAGTCAATCAGTCAGTCAGTCACTCAGTTAGTCACTCAGTCACTCAGTCAGTCACTCAGTCAGTCAGTCAGTCACTCAGTCAGTCAGTCACTCAGTCAGTCACTCAGTCAGTCAGTCAGTCAGTCAGTCAGTCAGTCACTCAGTCAGTCACTCAGTCAGTCACTCAGTCAGTCAGTCAGTCAGTCAGTCAGTCAGTCAGTCAGTCAGTCAGTCAGTCAGTCAGTCAGTCAGTCAGTCAGTCAGTCAGTCAGTCAGTCAGTCAGTCAGTCAGTCAGTCAGTCAGTCAGTCAGTCAGTCAGTCAGTCAGTCAGTCAGTCAGTCAGTCAGTCAGTCAGTCAGTCAGTCAGTCAGTCAGTCAGTCAGTCAGTCAGTCAGTCAGTCAGTCAGTCAGTCAGTCAGTCAGTCAGTCAGTCAGTCAGTCAGTCAGTCAGTCAGTCAGTCAGTCAGTCAGTCAGTCAGTCAGTCAGTCAGTCAGTCAGTCAGTCAGTCAGTCAGTCAGTCAGTCAGTCAGTCAGTCAGTCAGTCAGTCAGTCAGTCAGTCAGTCAGTCAGTCAGTCAGTCAGTCAGTCAGTCAGTCAGTCAGTCAGTCAGTCAGTCAGTCAGTCAGTCAGTCAGTCAGTCAGTCAGTCAGTCAGTCAGTCAGTCAGTCAGTCAGTCAGTCAGTCAGTCAGTCAGTCAGTCAGTCAGTCAGTCACATACTCAGTCACTCAGTCAGTCACTCAGTCAGTCAGTCAGTCACTCAGTCAGTCACTCATTCACTCAGTCACTCATTCACTCAGTCACTCAGTCAGTCACTCAGTCACTCAGTCAGTCACTCACTCACTCAGTCACTCAGTCAGTCACTCAGTCACTCAGTCAGTCACTCAGTCAGTCACTCAGTCAGTCAGTCACTCAGTCACTCACACCTGCCTCTTTCAGTAAAGGATGTGAGGCAGGCTCCAGGAGGCAGCATACACACCAGGAAGGTTAAGACAATGAAATAGAAAATCAGTACTAAGTAGAAGGAAAGCAAGCATGCTGATTTTGTAGATGAACAGAGCAGCAGTGACTGAGGAGCACATTTGAGGGGAAAGAGGAACACAAGTTAGTTCACTTTAGCAGGAGGAAAGAGAAAATGTTTCATTTCTCACGGAGAAGCAAAATGAAATGGAAACCCCCCTCCACCATAAGTTATAAAAACAATTTCCTGGGTTCTTATATTCTGGTAAATTCTCTTTCCAGCTCTGAAGTTAACTGAATGACTTAGTAACTCTGTGCCTCAGTTTCTATATCTAAAAGGGAGAAGATAACCCCTGTCTTTTCCTTTCTTATGAACATACGGCGATTATTGGTAATTAAGAAAGTGTTGTTGTTCCAATGTGAATTGCTATTTTAATCAACTAAAAGCATTAGATCTTTAATAATTTGTGATGAGCCATAGTTTATGTCTCAAGTTTTCGAAAGAATGATGGATTTCCACCATCACCGCTGCCCCTCTCCATAGTGAGCCCCTCAGGAGGACTGATGGACATGTGGGGTGCTGTCACTTTTTGACTGTTGTGAGCAGAACTGCTCTGAACACGGATGTGCTTTCAGTTCTTTTGGGTCTATGCCCAGAGGGAGACCTGCTGGGTCATATGGTAGTTCTATTTTTTACTTTTGGAAGAAACATCCTGTTTTCCATAGCAGTTGCCCCATTTTACATCCCACCAATAGTGCACAAGTTCTAATTTCTCTGCATTTTTCCCACTCTTGTTATTTTCTGATTTTTTTTGCTAGCAACCATCCTAATGAGTGTGATGTGGTATCTCATTGTGGTACTTTGTCATCATTTTTATTAACAACTTGGAAGAAGGCACAGAGTGATAGGATCCAGATACAGAAAGATTTCAGTTGGCTGAGATGATGAGCTGACATTTTCATACAGGACATCTTGCTCAGGAGGAAGACAGGTGCGAGGGTCAGCCCCCCTGCTCCCC